ACCTTCCCACCCTGGACAAATTGCCTCCCCTGGATTGTCATAGAAAGGAGAAATAAACTTTTATCTGTTTGAGGTACTGTATTTTAGAATCTTTGTTGCATCGGATTCATCTATACCATAATTATAACAGAAGGTCACAGGACCAGTAGTCTTAGATATTTACTCACTTGTTGAATTCTTGTCACTATCCCCTTCTCCAAAATGCCGGGGTCAGAATGTCAACAAATGAGACACTAAAAAACTTACCACCTATTTGTCTAAATGTGCAACCTAACATCTTTAAGTGGCAATGGATTATGGCAACTCCATCTCTTAGTGAGTGTTCAACACCCTGTTGAAGATCAGCAAGGGAATGTGTGCTATTAGAAATGAGGCCTTGGGGGGCGCCTGGGTGGCGCAGTCGGTTAAGTGTCCGACTTCAGCCAGGTCACGATCTTGCGGTCTGTGAGTTCGAGCCCCGCGTCAGGCTCTGGGCTGATGGCTCAGAGCCTGGAGCCTGTTTCCAATTCTGTGTCTCCCTCTCTCTCTGCCCCTCCCCCGTTCATGCTCTGTCTCTCTCTGTCCCAAAAATAAAAAAAAATTAAAAAAAAAAAAAAAAAAAAACCAAAAAAAAAAAAAAAAAAAAAAAGAAATGAGGCCTTGGTCTGTCTCCCTCTGCCTTCTCTAGAAATATTCCTTCAGACCTCCAGGCTGTCAGCACATAAAGGCACAGAAAGTGTGAAGATACAGACACTGGATAACGTTCACTAATGACTTCCCATGTGCTAACAGCGCCCCTTAAAATTGCCCTTTATTGACATAACCTTTATTCCTGGTATGAAGGCCTCCTCGTGACCAGGACTTGCTTTCATCTTCCCTCTCTACCTCTTTCTCTTACTCTTGCTTCCTCCTCGAAATTTCTCCCTTTCATATTCTTAATGTCTACTCTTTCTTAGAAGTGCTCCCTCCATTTTGATGTTTGTTTCACAAGCTTCTAGCCCAATATCCATAAAATGTTTTGCTTCCTGAAATCCTCAAAACCTGCTGCTCTTCCCTCTGCTCTGGCACTACTGTTAGAGCATATATTAAAGTGGTGAATTGCTTATACTTACTTATAATGAAGATTTTTTTCATTTTTTAAAAAGTTTATTTATTTTGAGAGAGAGAGAGCTTGCACACATGTGGGAGGGGCAGAGAAAGGGGGAGAGATAGAATCCAAGCAGGCTCCGCACTGTCTGTGCAGAATCCAAGGCGGGGCTTGAACACATGAACCACAAGGTCATTACCTGAGCTGAAACCAATAGTCAGATACTTAACGGATTGAGCCACCCAGGCACCCCAGAATATATTTTAATAAGAGAAGGAAAACAATCTTCAACAACTGAATAATGTCAAATATTGACATTTTGAAATGTCAATTTGTATATATACTCGTTATCACTGTGAATGTCCTTGTTCTCCTGAAGTTTATATTCTAGTAGTTGGAAAACATAGTCTCAGGGTCCAGTCTTACAGAAAAGGTGTTCCTGAGTTCAAAATCTCATTTGGATAAAGTATCTTCTACTTTTTGTTTTGATAGATTAGAGTCATGCCTGGAGAGGCTCTATGTCACTGGAGGTATCTCCTTTGATCTCTTAGAGAAGAACTTGATAATATTTACTAGCTTTTGTAATCTTCTGACTATGAAAACTGGGGTGGAATATTTATCTCATACTCAATGCAAATCATAGAATGCACCAAATGTAATAAGGGACAAACCGTTTCTTTCTTGTGTTTCAAAAAATATGATAGCTCATAGATATCAAGATCTTTATATTTCACACATGTGAAAGATATCCATCTTAAAGAAAGAAAGAAAAGAAAGGTTTGGATAAAGTGTGTGATCTCATTGCTGATCCTAAGTTTTGTGTGATCAGGACAAGTGACCAAGCATATTTCTGAGCAAACAGTGGACAGAGAATATGACTCCTTCATTTGTGACACAGGGTTATGGTGACCAACAATGAACAAGTACATGAAAGCACTTTGAAATCTTTATATTATAGAGCATATACAGTGTGAGTTATTATGACTGCTATGTGCATTATAATTGAAAAACCGTTCTTGTATGCTTCAAGTCAACCAGAAATACGAATTCAACTTCGCACAAAAGTACGCAGGGGCAAATGAATAGGGTTCAACTAGGCATCATCAGTTTTCTTCAGTAAGGAGCAGGATAGGGATAGCGACAAGCTTTGGTTTTATACTCCCCCTAATGTTGTTGGAGAATGTTGTGCTAAAATAGAAGATATGGAACCACCGTGCTCTCTGCTTATTGGATTCTACTCTTCCACTCTTATTTGATAACATTATGTGCATCATAAATTTTCTAAAGACAATACCAATTAGGGTTTATTTTGGTTAGGAAACAAACACAATTTTTTTTTCTTACTGTTACAAGTGTGGTGGCCTACATTCCTTCACTGAATAATTAAAATTTAAAATTAATGTTGTATCACCACTTCACACCCATTAGGATTGCTATTATTAAAAAAAAGAAAGAAAGAAACTGACAAGTTTTGGTGAAGATAAGATTGGAGAAACTGAAAACTTAGTGCGCTGCTAGTGGGATGTCAAATGGTGTAGCTGCTACGGAAAAGAGTGTAGTGGTTTCTCAAAAAATTAAAAATAGAATTACTATATTATCCAGCAATTTCATTTCCGGTCATAGACCCAAAAGAATAGAAAGCAAAGGCTCAAACAGATATTTGTACATGCTTGCTCAAAACAGCATTGTTCACAATAGCCATAAAGTAGAAGCAACCCAAGTAAGTGTTCATTGATGGATGAATGGATAAACAACCTGTAGTGTATACATTCAATGGAATACTATTCAACCTTAAAAAGGAAGCAACTTCTGACACATGCTAAAATATAGATGAATCCTGAAGACATTACACCAAGTGGAATAAGACAGTCGCAGAAGGACAAATACTGTATGGTTCTACTCATATGGGGTATCTAGAACAGTCAAATTCATAAGAGACAAAGTGGAATGGGGTTGCCTGTGGCTGAGAGGAGGGGTAAATGGGGGAGTCATTGTTTAACGTACACAGAGTTTTGCTTTGCAAGATGAAAATTTTCTGGAGCTGGCTGGTGTGATGGTTGCACAACAGTGTGAATGCACTTACTGCCACTGAAATATACACTTAAAAATGGCTAAAGTAGGGGCGCCTGTGTGGCTCGGTTGGTTAAGTGTCCGACTTTGGCTCAGGTCATGATCTCACGGTTCATGAGTTTAAGCCCTGCATGGAGCTCTTCGCTCCCAGCACAGAGCCCGCTTCAGATCCTCTGTGTCCTTCTCTCTCTGCCCCTCTGCTGCTCATGATCTCTCTCTCAAAAATAAGTACTTTTTTAAAAAGTGGCTTAAGTAGTAAATTTTGTGCTATGTATATTTTATAACAATTAAAAAATTAATGTTGCATCAACTCAAGGGATTCTAACATAAAGAATAAATTGTGATATGAGTCAAGGTTATGGACAATATTCATCTTATTAATTTGGTATTAAGGAAGAGAGAATGCTAATGGAGACAGGATGATAATCTTTTGAAATCATACAATGGGTAAAGCTAAAAATTATAGTTTTGATATATCTTAAAGAATCTCATGGATTGAGGACAGGACCTGGATTTTTTTATGCATTATTAGATAAAAAGAACAATCTGTATAAATAATCTTTGTTTTATTTCCATGACTCTAATGTGTATGGATCAGATCATTTATCTGGAGAGAAGGAGATATGTTATGGTCATTTCCTGTCTTATTTACTGTACTATACCATACTCTCACAAATATATGTTGGATAATCCCAAGATAGGTGAAATGAGCATGTCCCAGATGAGATGGTCCATAGCACGTACTCATGCTAGCCTATATGCAGAACTTCTTCAGCTGAAGGTTGACTTTTAGAGTGCACCATGGAGATTTCTAAAGTTTGATGGGATCCTCATTCACTCAGACATTACGATTAAAAGCCACAAGTCTCCATGTGAACAGTGGTTCCCCCTTAGTCACTGAAATGGGATCTGAATCTTTGTCCCTACACCCTTATTTTCATCAACTAATTGATAAAGTAGGATCTTAGCTCTGAGTCTGAATACAAGAATAAGGACTGGGGAAGAAATAAGTGGATTGGATTTCAGTACGATGTGCAAAAGTAACAGACACTCTCCCTACCATCTCCCTTCACTCCTTCTTATCCCATTTGCCTTAAGTTATTGAAAATAATAACGAAAAGATATTAAGGGGGGGCTGGGTGGTTCAGTCAATTAAGCATCCAACATTTGATTTTGGCTCAGGTCAGAATCTCATAGTTTGTGAGATTGAGCCCCGCCTCGGGTTCCACACTTACAGCTCGGAGCCTGCTTGGGATTCTCTCTCTCCCTGTCTCTCTGCCCCTCTCCCATTCTCTCTCTCTCTCTCTCTCTCTCAAAATAAATAAACAAACTTTAAAAAAGATGTTAAGAGATTTCACAAAGGGAGAGAAATTATTACCTGAACTGGACAAATAGATTTCCTTCATCATACAGATTCTCCAGCCTTTTTTGGAAGTGGTGTATTCTCAAATGAAGCCACATCTACCGGCAAGCCAGGAAAGGGATTGTGAATAAATGTGACTGCCAGAAAGTGAGGAATTTTTTGTAGTTTTGTGAACAGTGTTGCTGCCTAAGCTAAAGCAAAGGTGTGGGAATCTACAAAAATACTATTGGACACTTGAAAAGTACCTCGGGGAGCTTGCCATCCTGAATATTTCAGTATTTATCCTGAGATGTCTCTATTAGAATCTACACCTTTATGTTTTCGTTGAGTATTCTGTTGTGTAGAAAGAACAGAATGGGTGAAATATCTACAAATATAGCACTGGAAAGTTTAATTGCACAATTTCTTGAGAAGCTTTAGGTTCTTTTTCTTTCAAATTACATCACAGAGAAAAGTAATTCCCAACCCAGAAACCCCACATAACCATACCAGAGACACTTCACTAGGTCAATGCACTTTATTATTTCTACTGAGCTAGAGATGTACATGAACAACATAGGAGCACACTCCAGATAACCATTTCCTGTCCATCTTGGAGCCAGCCACCCTTTCCCTTCAGGCATTCACCCTCCAAACACATCCAAAACGTGCTAAATGACGTGACCTGTTTGAAGCCACATCTCAGAGCACCGTCTGTGAACTTAGCCCACATTGTTTGCATGGTGTCAGGAGAAGAAGGGAAGAAGGTGGATGATTAAAATTGATAGGATCAACGTTACCGTTCTCAATTTTGAACTGTAAGGATCCATATGGCAAGCGATGTGTCCTACTCTTGACGTCTTAGAGAATACTTTTTTAGAAGGGTCACTGGAAGTAACCGTGGAGGACATATTTCTCCTTGATAGTATCATTTATCTCCATAATATCATTTATGTAAGCAGGGATAACTTCTTGAATATCATTTTGCCATCGACAAGTCATAAGGACCTGTCCCTGCCTGTAAGAAGATTCATAGACACAGTCTGTCATTACCACTCCTTCGATTAAATTACAGTACACTCCTTTTATTGATTGCCTGCTCCTGTGACATCTCTTCACACCATTCTTACAAGACACAAACAGGTTGTTACAGATGTCTTGCAGTTCCTCAAATGATATCTGGAGGAAGAAATGTTCTTTTACACAACGGAATCTGTTGTGGACATTTTTCATCTTTATTTCATCAGTGCAGTAGTTGGAATCAGTTAAGGGTCTTCCCGGATCAATAATGGTGCGCCTTTTGAAAACATCCTTAGGGGTTGGTAGGGTAGGTCCTGTGCTGCGCATTTCCTCCAAATAATCTTCAAATTGCTCTATCTCTTCCTCTGACAACGGAACATATTTGTGCAAGATTTTCAACTGCAGTGGCTGCAGTAGCAGGAGCAGCAGGAGCAGCAGAGTGAGGGGCCGCAGGGTGATCAGAGTCCACATGCTTTCCGGGGGGGACTACGAGAGATAAGGGGATGTGGGCCATTTCCATACTGTGCCCGCTTCTATTCCTGTGCTGGGCAACATTCCTTTCTGCCAATTACCGCCGTTCTGAGCTCGAAGACTTTGGGCAGTATTCAAATTGACAATTCAGAATATATTTAACCATTTCTGAAGTATGGACTAAAAAGTAACCTTCCTAGGCCTGTACTCAGTCGGGAAGACTGTTGATATGAGAGGAAAAGGTGAAGGAAGGAGGGAGAGAAAAGGAGAGAGAGCAGTGAGCAAACAAGGAAGGATGAGGAAGAGAGAAAAGAAGAGGAGGGAAGGAGAGAGGAGGTCAAGACAGCAGTGGGGAGAGGGGAGAGAGACAGACAGACAGACAGACAGATAGACAGACAGGCAGAGAAGAGGCTCCCACCATCCGGAACAAATGCATCTGTTCTCTTCTTAGGAGTTGTGAACTCACACCGTAGAGAGCTATAAGTGATCCTCCCTCCCCTCCGCCTGCTGCTATGAGGAAAATTCTTCATCTTATGACTTCTCCTCTTGCTCATCTCAGACCATAGACGCCCTGGGAGAAGGGATCAAGCAAGGTACATGGGGTCGGGTGAACACCATCTGCTTTTCTTTGTGAATATGCTTTCAGCACGACCTCCTTGCCTGGAGCTGCTCGGTCCATTTTGTAGCCTCCTCTGCCTCCTGTTACCACTCAGAATGGCTCTGCCACCAAGGGGCATCACTTACCTTGTGGGGGTGTTTTTTTATCCTATTTTTTTCTTCTCTTAGGTAGACTTCATGGTTTCTGCTGTGATCAGGTTTCGCATCCCTAAACTCTCTCCACCCTGTGAGCCTGTCTGCAGAGTTACGGTAACCTCATCAGGAACGATTTCAGTCCTTACTTTCCTCGATGTCAGTGCATCCGCCTGTCTATTCACCCCACAGCAGGCTGCACCAAAATCCCCCAGTACTTTATTTATTTATTTATTTATTTATTTATTTATTTATTTTTTTATTTTAAGTTTTTTTATTTATTTATTTTTTTAAATTTTTTTTTTCAAACATTTATTTATTTTTGGGACAGAGAGAGACAGAGCATGAACGGGGGAGGGGCGAGAGAGAGGGAGACACAGAATCGGAAGCAGGCTCCAGGCTCCGAGCCATCAGCCCAGAGCCTGACGCGGGGCTCGAACTCACGGACCGCGAGATCGTGACCTGGCTGAAGTCGGACGCCCAACCGACTGCGCCACCCAGGCGCCCCTAAGTTTATTTATTTTTGAGAGAGAGAGTGTGAGCAGGGGAGGGGCAGAGAGAAAGGGAGAGTGAGAGAATCCCAAGCAGGCTCCTCACTGTCAGTGCAGAGCCTGATGCAGGGCTCCAATTCACAAACCCTGAGATCAAGACTGGAGCTGAAATCACGACTTGGATGCTTAACCAACTGAGGCATCCAGGCACCCCAATACCCCCCAGTACTTTAAATACACATGAGCAAGTGTCTCTGCAACACAAATGTGTAAAACTGAGATGAATTACATTATTTAGAAAATTGTCCTATCTTAAAAAGAAATGAAAATGTTTAATTTGGTACATACTAATGAAGCACATTATTACTAAGCTTTGTGGTCGTTATGTTAAATAATTATTTTAAAACTTTCCTTGCAAGAGCCTGAACAGTAGTAACATGTGTTACAGGAATTGTGCCCAACAGCTAGATACCAGGGGACAGACTACCCTTTAGTACAAAGTGTCATCTCTCACAGAGAACTCCTGGGCCTATCTATCATTTTCCATTTCTACTCCAAATCTGGCTGTTAATCAATTCTCCAAGGAGACTTCCCAGACAAAGGCAAGTGCTTTAGGTACACTGGAGAACAGGCTTCCAGGCCTACCTGTGCCTGGAGTCTCTTGACCTTGTTCAGTCCTTGTGGTGTCTATGCTTCAGAGAATGGATGCCTCAGGGCTGGGCTGTAGAGATCCTGATATTGGGGGAATTGGCCTCCCCTTAGAGCACAGGAGCTTGGAATAGAAAGGGAGAAAAACAACTGTGAGCAGCTGAAATAAATACATAAGTAATATGTATAAATAATATTTATTTGTACATAAATAAATATATATACAAATAATGAATAATAATGGCTAACACAACAAGCAATGATATACAAAGCACTATCTGTACATTACCATCTTCATCATCCAAACAGCCTTATGATAGACATGTTGTTTTTTAGTATTGTTTTTGTCTTCATTGTAATCAGCATCTCTTTGTGAAAGGAAGTTGCTTAAAATCTTACATTGGGCCTGGCAAAACCCTGGTTCATGCTGAGGTCACAAGTCTGTCTGACATCTACAATTCAGTTCTTCACTGCTATTCTGTGGCCCTTATCAGTCTAGTTTCCCTTCCTGAGGCTAACCTGTGCTTCCTTCTCTAGGCTGTCTTTGTAACTCTGTCAGAAGAAACTAACAGAAACACAGAGATCACAAAATTGGCAAGAACCAGGGGCGCCTGAGTGGCTCCGTCAGTTGAGCGTCTGACTCTGGTTCTCAGGTCTTCATCTCAGGGTCGTGAGTTCAAGCCCCACATTGGGCTCTGTGATGGGTGTGGAGCCTACTAAAAAAAAAAATAAGTGGGGAGGACTAGAATTGTGTTTGAACCACTGGAGTGCTGTAAGAAATTGGCCCACGTGCTAGCCCATGTGCCATGAAGCCTAGCTGAGCCGCTGCAGGAGAGTTTCCTGGGTTTTCTTACTCCACTGTGGCCTTGGCATAAGAGAAGTCTTCCCTTAAGGCAACCTGAGTGATTCTCCAATACTCATAACCCAGAGACTCTGAGCTACGTGGAGATGGAAACAGGTTGGATCTAACCTTTGTATATGTGAGTAGAAAAAGTCAGAGAATGGAGGAGTTAGAGACAGGCAGATGTTGGGGGTGCCTGAGTGGCTCAGTTGGTTAAGCATCTTACTTCAGCTCAGGTCATGATCTCAAGGTTTGTGAGTTCAAACCCGTCATCTGGCTCTTTGCTGTCAGTGCAGAGCCCGCTTCAGATCCTCTGTCTCTCTCTCTCTGCCCCTCCTACTTGCTCTCTCTCTCAAAAATAAATAAACATTTTTTTTTTAAAGGCAGATGTGGGGGACACATATGAGAAAGTAGAGAGAACAGGAGGATTGAAGGCAGGAGAGCAGAGAATGGGACTGGAAAGAAAAACTGGCCTGCAGTGGTGACGTGAGACTGGGCAGTCTTGGTGTGGCCATAAGCATGAACCCTTCCTCCCATCCCTGCTTCTACACTCTTATCAGACTCCCCTGGGGAGTCTCTTCAGGAGAGTGAGACCATTGTGAAAGTGCAGGGAGCTCAGCACACATTCCCATAAATGAGAACCTGGAGTGTCTGCAGCATCTTGGGCTGCAGAAAACAGAACAGCAGGTGCATGGAGAGCAGAGTTCAGGCTCCTGCTGAGGACATGCCTCAGGGCCTGCCCAGGATACCTCCTTGACTTTTGTACCCTAAACTTCTTAATTTTTTTATTTATGAATTCAGATTGTAGTTTCATACTTGTCAAAATCCTTTCTGACCCCAAAGTATATGCATTTTTGCTTCTATTCTAATGTATTACTTTTATGGATTTTTGTAAAATGTTAAGTCTTTTACCCATCTGGAATTTATTTTGAAGTATAGTGAGAGGTGGGTTTTGTTTTTACATGATTTTTCCATAATCCCGGTACCAATGATTTGGGGTCCCTCATCACTAATTTAAAAGTTAGCTTATATATTAAACAATTCTATTTCTGAACTATCTGTTGTGTTTTGATGATGGTTTTATCTATTCACTTGCCAGTGATATGCTTTTACTTATTCTAATTTTATAAAATATTTTAATATCTAATAAAGCAACTCACATTCATTCTTCTACTTGTTCAAAAGTTAGTACTGAGACAGAACAGAAAGCAGATTAGTGGTTGCTTGGGGCACAGGGTAGGAATGGGAATTTGCAGTAAATGGGCAAGACAGACAGACAGAGACAGAAACAGAGAACAGAGAACAGACGGATTGAAACATGCTCATGCAATGCTTCTTAAGTTTTTGCCTGGCAACCTCACACAGCAGAACCACCTGGACGCCCTGTGGATTGCAGATTCCCTGGGTTTTCCTCAAACCTCATTAATCAGAACCTCTGTGAATGGGCCCATATATCTGCACTATAAACAAGTTCACAAGGTGAGTCTTAGCCCACTAAAGTTTGAGAAGCACGGCCTTTGTATACATAAAAATGTAATTTATGACATAGAAAACATCCCAAAATAGTGGGGGAAGTTTTAGGCCTTTTCAGTAAATGTTTTTGGGAAAAAAGTGAGATGAATTGCTTTCACTGTTTGGCTATACTGAATAATGCTTCTTTGAACATGGGTGTGCACATATCTGATTGAGTCCCACTTTTCTTCTCCGCTTTTAAATGTGCTTGGGAGGGTTAGGGTAACTTATAGGTGTATAGGCAGGGAAGGGCCTGAGAGAGGTTGTCTATCCCGGGCCTTTTCTATTATGCAGGTCTTGAGTCCCTGGTCACAATTTAAAAAAATAAAATAAAAGAGTAAGATGGGTCAAAGTCTCCCCAGGGAGACAAATACATATTTCAGAGAGATGATTAGGTTATATTTTAAAAGTAAATCATTTTTAAAATGCAAGACTTTTAACAGATCTTACAATAAGGCATCAAAGGATTATGATTGTGTAATAGTTATATAGCTTCAATCACAAAAGGAAGAATTAAAATTGTATCTTACAAATTGGTAACAGTTACAATACCTCATAAACTCAATGCTGGTGAGTGAGATAAGGTGGGAAATCACTCATTTGTGATCACAATGAAAAAGTTGGCAAATATAATAAAAAGCTTTGAAAAGCTGATAATATCCCTCCACTTGTAATAGCTAAGATTCTAAGCAGCAATAGTTTATATAGAAATATGGACAGTAAGCTTTACTTAATAAAGACAAAAATTTGAAATTTGAAAACATAAATATCCAAAAATTTGAGGAAAAGTTAAATTGAGTCTGATATGTTCATAAATATGGTAAAAACAATAATAACCACTGTAGTAAAAGCTAATATTTGAGATAGTATTCTGTAGTCAGAGAATTATATATTATAGAATAGATTGTTTTCCAGAATTTACAAATGAATTAACCAATGAAAATTTTAAAATATGAAATATATTTAATATTATAGTAGTAGGATTATCTGGTCACAAGTGATAGAAGTACCAAACAAATTAACTTAAACACCAGAGGAACTATATTGACTCACAGAAAACAAGTCCAAGAGGCACAGCAGGATGAAGAAATTAAATCTTTCACTGCACTCTTATTTTCTCTCTCTTCCACCACTGTTTTCTCTGCTAACTTCATTCTCATGCAGGGTCTCTCAATGTAATGGCAGAGAAAATCATTGTTACCTTTTTAGCCTATATTTAAGGTCACAGAAGGAAGTGTCATCCTCTCCCACTTTCATCCAATATAGAAAATAACTTTACCGATTGGCCTTGTTTCTGTCACGTGCGTAAATCCAGGATTGTGAGGTCTTCTGATTGGTCAACCTGTAACACATGTCCTCCTCGGGGAAGTAAAGGCAAAACCACACCATTAAAATTCCAGCAGAATTCCAGTTGCTGACCGAAGGAAGGGTTGTTACCTACAAAGCGAGAAAGGGATGGAGACCAGTGGCAAATGTCCATTACAAACGGCTGGGGGAAAAATAAAGCATTGAACTATATCTACAACATGATCCCAATTAATGGAAATATAGATTACGTGGTGGGGGCGGAGGAACCAAAACAAAACCGCAAGAAACTGTTATTTCTGAATGGTTGATTTTTTATTGTTGTCTTTAAAGCTATCTATTTTTCAAATTTAAAATAAGTTAGTTCTAAGAAATGTCACTTACGAAATGGATTTTTAAGATCTGGCTTTGGACATGTTCTTAAATATGAAGTGCCAATTTCTCAGACTGACACATTTGGTATCAGTTAACTTCCACTTTTGCTCAGTAGCAGGAAGAGTCAGTTCCTTAGTTTGAGTGGTTAAGCAAAGATAAAAACTCAGTCTTTAGAGTTAGACTTACCTTTATGAGTAAATCCCAGAATATCTCTTCGTTGAATTCCATAAGAAAAATCTAGGTTTTAGCTAACCTCAAATTTAGACTCTGCTTAAACATTTTGAGGCAATATTTATGCTTCTGACCTTTACACCCCTAGCCAAACTGAGAATGGTGTCAGGTTGAGAAAATCTAGAGAAAAATGTGATTTTTGTAGGTCCTAAGAGGATCAGTGACTTCCCTGAAATGCACATCTTTTGTTCAAGACATTTACTAGGGCCCAGGCCCTAGTAAAGACCTGAATATTTGAGCTCACAGAGACAGAATACAGAAAGTAACTGACTTTTCCTGATGCAAAAGTGGAAGTTAACTGATATCAAATGTGACAGTTTGAGATACTGGCACTTCATATTTAAGAACATGTGTCCAAAACCAGATCTTAATAGACGTACGCAAAATAAGAGTTACTCAATAATTGAAAATCAATCTTCAGAGCACAAATATAGTGTAATTTTGACATCTTATATTGCAAAAATGGAGTCAAGCCAGCTCCGGGATGACAAAAATCTCTTCATATTTGTTTGCAGTTTCCTGCAAGTTTATATTTATGTATGCCTTAATTAGCTTTTTTATTGTATGATTCTATATAAAAAAATTTTTTTTGAGATTTGTTACATTGATATCTGCTATTTTTTTTTCCTGTAATGTCAGTGTGAGTTTAGCAGGTACAGACTAAGATATCACCACTGATATGGCTTGATCTCATAATTTGGTCCTTCTCAGTGATCAGAAATAACAGGAAAATAGAAGCATAGAATATATTAGGATAGACTATTTCATAGATTTTGCCAGGGAAAAGGAAAATAAAGCCCAGTGAGACAGTGCGTTCTATATCAAGAAAAAATAGGGGAACCTGTCTGGCTCAGTCAGTGGAGCATGTGACTCTTGACCTTGGGGTTATGGGTTTGAGCCCTGCATTGGGTGTAGAGATTATAAGAAAGAAAGAAAGAAAGAAAGAAAGAAAGAAAGAAAGAAAGAAAGAAAGAAAGAAAGAAAGAAAGAAAAACAGATTTCAGTGTTCACACCCACCCACCCATACACACACACACATTCCTCCATGTATGATGGACTAGAGGTCAAAGTGATATTTTAAAAACAACATTAAGGATATTATAATGATACAAGTATATATAGTAGAATATTTTTCACAATTTTGGAGCTAGTGATGTCTTTCTTAAACCAAACAAGAGCACAGCCACAAAGAAAATTATTGAATTATTGAAAAGCTTGATTACACATGCATAGACTGAATTACATACCTGTATACATGAGTACAAAGAAAATCTGACCCCAAAACAAATAACATGACAATGATCTCTAATAGCAGAAGACACCAAAAAAATAAACTTCAAAAACCAGCAACAGCTTGGGGAAAAAAAATGCTTTGGGGGTGCCTGGGTGGCTCTGGTTAAGTGTCCAACTTCAGCTCAGGTCATGATCTCACGGTTGGTTACTGGGTTCCAGCCCCACGTTGGGCTCTGTGCTGACAGCTCAGAGCCTGGAGCCTGCTTCAGATTCTGTGTCTCCATCTCTCTCTTTGCTCATCCCCTGCTAGTGCTCTGTTTCTCTCTCTGCCTCTCAAAAATAGATTAAAAATGTTCAAAAAAAATTTTAAGTGCTTTGAAAATGTGATCAGTGTGAAAGTGCTTCTCAAACTCAGGTGTAAGAAAAGTATGAATTTCTTTTCTCAATCCATTGTATCTGCACCAAAACCCTAGCTCTTAAGGGTGGCAGCACAATTTACCTCTATTACAATTTTAGGTGTCTTCTGCCTTTCCTACATAGTTAGGAAAATCAAAGTATCTGCATTTGCCCTAGTAAAACAGAAAGTTACAATTTTGTACATGAGTGTTGATCATCATAGTTTCATAGTTTCTCTTTCTGTTATCATCATAGTTTCTCTTTCTGTTATCAATTGTCTTAATATGGAACATAGGGTTGTTTTTCCTCCCCTTTTAAACAACTAACATTTTTGAAACTTAACACAAAAGCTATTGACATCCCTTTGAGCTACCAAAGAATTTGGTAAAGAATTTCTTGTGCTGTAAAGAATTTCTCTCTTTCCCAATATTCTACGGCAGTAAAAGCAAAATGCTCATCTATGCCTTCACAAAGTATTCTTATTTCCTATCAACTCCTATATTTCTTAGCTTTTGCATCATTAACTCATTATGAGTGCAACTCTGCCATGATGGATCTACCTTCTCACTAGAAAAGCAAGGAGAGGTGGTTTATCTCCAAAAATTTTAAGGAGCCTGTTTAGACAAAAACACTTTAAACTTGTTTTTTTTTTTTTTTAAGATTTTATTTTCAAGCAATCTCCACACCCAACGTGGGGCCCAAACCTACAAACCTGAGATTAAGAGTTGCAGGATCCACCGACTGAGCCAGCCAGGCTCCCCTAGACTTGGTTTTATTTATTTATTTATTTTTATTTTAATTTTTTTTAATGTTTATTTATTTTTGATAGAGACAGAGCACAAGTGTTGGAGGGGCAAAGAGAGATGGAAATGGAAACCGAAGCAGGCTCCAGGCTCTGAGCTGTCAGCACAGAGCCCAACGCAGGACTAGAACTCACCAGCCGTGAGATCATGACCTGAGCTGAAGTCAGATGGTTAATTGACTGAGCGACCCAGGCACCCCTAATTTTTGTGTTTTTTTTTTTAACATATAGGTTTTAAAAATTTTTTTAAATTTATTAACTTAGAGAGAGAGACAGAGAGAGTGAGAGGGAGAGGAGCAGAGAGAGAGGGAAAGACAGAATCCCAAACCAACTCCACGCTGTCAGCACAGAGTCCAACATGGGACTTGAACTCGTGAACCATGAGATCATGACCTGAGCTAAAACCAAGAATCAGAGACTTAACTGACTGAGCCACCCAGACACCCCCAGATTTGGTTTTAAAATGAAAGTATACATAAGGATGAATATAATCTTGTAGTCAAGATGGAGTAACACGGACCTGATTTACCCTCCCACCTGAAACAATTTTTAAAACTGATAAAATGCTGGAAAAATTAGTTTCAAGACACTAACATGAGACAACCAAACACACTGATCTTTGAGATACAGGAAACTAACAAGGTGAGTCCTACAATTTGCCTGGCTTACTGCCTGGAGAGAGATTTCAGGCACAAGTGAAGGGTTGGCAAACAGGAAGAGCCTGAAAACTACAGGAGATGAGGAGGAGGAACTGAGGAAACAAGGAGGCCAAGAAACTTGAGTCCACAGGACACAGTACTAGAAAGGAGAGAACTGCCTTGAACAGAAGTGTGGAGATCTGCACAGGGTTCCTCTCAAGTATGCAGCAGAGTACTGTTTATCATGAGTGTGGGAGAAAACCACCTGAGGCTGGGGAAAGAATTATCTAAAAGGATCAGAGAAGGTAGTGCCTAACCCCACTAACCAGGCTGGAAAAAGTCAAGATGCATGGGATATTAGGTAGAGTACTCAGGAAGGTCTTGCCTCAGTAATGGGCAATAATTAGCCTTGGGCTGCAACTGCTCTGTACCCGCCTAACAAATCAAAAGGATCGAGTGGTTCCGAATAGCTTATGTGCATCCCAGAAAATAGTTCAAGAAAATTTATAGGAATGCAAAAATATCCTTACCTGGTAAACCAACAAGGTAAAATTCACAGCATCTGGCATCCAATCAAAAATAGCTAAGCCTGGGGGCACCTGGGTGACTCAGTAGGTTAGGCGTCCGACTCCTGGTTTCCGCTCAGGTCATGATCTCACAGTTCATGGGATTGAGCCCTGAGTCAGGCTCCATGCTGATGGAATAGAGCCTGCTTGGGATTCTCTCTCTCCCTCTCTCTGCCCCTTCCCCACTCACACACACTATCTCTCAAAATAAATCAATAAAAACTTTTAGAAAATTACTAAAAAAGGAAGCAGATAAACAAAAACCATAGTGAGGAGAATAATCATTCAATTGCATTTGGCCATAAGAAGGCATAGAATAAAGACATTAAAACTGTTATTATAAGGGGTGGCTCAGTTAGTTAAGCATCTGAGTCTTGAATTCGGCTCAGGTCATGACCTGATGGTTCACAGGTTTGAGCCCCTGTGTTGGGCTCTGTGCTGACAGCTCAGAGCCTGGAGTCTGCTTTGGATTCTGTGTCTCCCACTTTTTGCCCCTCCCCTCCTCATGCTCTGTCTCTCAAAAAATAAATAAACATTAAAAAAATTTTTTAAATTATTATTATAACTGGATTTCTTCTGTGCAAAAAATTAAGTAGATTCATAGACAATAGAAAAAAACAAATCAAACTTTGAAACTTTTAAAGATAAAAACTAAAATGTGTGAGATGAAAAATACACTGGATGAGATTAATGGCCGATTAGATATTGCAGAACAAAGATTAGTGAATCTGAAGGTTATAGAAATGATCCAAATGAAACATCAAACAAGAAAACAAAACAAAGAGTGAAAAGAGCATCAGCAAGCTGTAGAATGAATTCAAGTGACTTCAGATGAGTAATTAGAGTCTCTGAAAAGGAGAAGCAGGGGGATAGAAAAAAAATTAGAAGCAG